CTACGGTCATGAATCGTGGACCATCACTGAAAAACTTCGAACCCGGGTACATGCTGCTGAAATGGGCTTTTTTAGACGAGTCGCTGGCCTTACGCATCTCGACATGATCCAGAATACTGACATCCGGGAAAGCCTTGGCGTACAGCCTCTGCTTCTCCAGATTGAGAAGTCACAGCTGCGATGCTTTGGGCATATGTTGCGAATGCATCCAGAAAGAAAGGCCAAGTAACTGTTTCTTGCGAAACCGACCGGCAGAAGGCCCAAGGAATGGCCAAGATTAACTTTGTACAAATATATGGAAGGAGTCTGTTCTAGACTCCAGTTGTCTTCTGCCGAAACTCAGACTCAGGCATTGGATCGGGAGCGTTGGAAGCTTTGTCTGACGCGTTCACCCCCGCGACCCGAAAGGAGAAGCGCCCATGGAAGATGAAGATAAAGATGAATATATGTTATCAGTATTTTTGTGTTTCTAATGCTGTATGGCGCGTGTATGCGGTCGGCCATGAAATTTTTTCGCCCCTCAGAATATTAAAGACTTGGAGAACTGCTACGTTGGATACCTCTGTAGCTATGAACTATAAATTTCATATTGCGCAAATCACGCGTAGATCGTAAAATGGGTAGCAAATGCAACTCTTCCTTTTTGTATGGATTGTACATTTTTCTGGGTAAACCGGCTACCAGACTGGCCAGCGTTCTTTTCCGCGTAAAACACACGCGCATCGACACTGAGTTCGTTTCGTAGGTTACATTTCAAATTGTTTGCAGACTATAGCTTACTTCCCATTTTCTCCATTGGCTGCAACGATGCGCAGTATGATACATTCCGCGCTCAAACGAATTATAAGTTAATACGCCTTATTTATGCTTGAACTTGCTCTTTTGGCATATTAAGTCGAGCGACGTCTTACTGCGCCATCCAATGTTTTTAACCTGCTAGAATGGAAGGGCAACGAAAGCGCTGTTCACGGGGTACAGTTTAACGTAGATTCTCTGCAATACGTTTAACCATTGCTACTGGATTTTTTCCGATAATTCTTTTGAAAATGTTTTATTGCGCAGGCAGCCATCCACAAATAATTTCTGAAAAGAATGATTTAGGCTTGAAAATAATCGAACAGTGTCCTCTTCGATCAATCGTCATTAATGACAACCATCAGGTGGAAGGTGTTGAAACGCGTTATGGTCTCATACGTTGCAAGCATTTCATTAATACTGCAGGCTACGTATGGCGGTAAGTAACATATGGGTTAGATGCAGAACTTGCAGTTTAGTGGGCTGGAAGTTTGCCGTGCAGTGGCGCCACTGAGAAGCCTTCTATGCGGCTGCCTGTGCAGGAATGCCTGTACAGTTATATGATAACGGAACCATTTGAAGGTGTATCTAATTCCGCACCAAGTATATGCTTTTATACTGTTTTGTTCATGGTTTATGTACTTATATGATGACCGTAATTAAGAAATTGTCGATTCACAAGACTCAAAATCCAGCGTCGTCGTCCAAGATTATTCATTTTTCTTCTGCTTTAGCATGATTAATAATATGACCATTAACGATCTGTCCGGCGTACCCGTCTACTGACAAGGAACCGGACAGTCAGAAGAGC